CTCCGGGCACGAGCCATGACTGCATATAAAATTCAAAATTTGGGAAGAAATAGGTGCTAGAATGTTTTTTTGAGCAGTCCTGTATCATTGGAGAATTACTTGAGGCATAGAAGCCTTATGGATAGAAACAACGAAAACCACGCCATATATTTTCTTTAATCAAAATAGAAGCCTTAGCAATATAGACAAGGAAATACCGCATCTGATGCAGTTTTAATCTTATTAATTCTAGTTGATTCTTAAAGAAATAGAATTATCTAAATGCAATGGATTTACGTGGATCATCTAAAGTTTTGAGTTTTATATTCAGCAGTAATACCGTATTCTTTTACACATTGGTTGTTGGCGAACGTGGTCATACACAACTTCCTATCTCTGGAGCACTAAACAGAATTTGTTTTCTTATTACTTCGCTCAATTTCTATCTTCCCATCCCTTTATATTCCCGTTATGTTATTCGCTGTTTAGGCTCATCGTCATTAAAATATAATCATCGTAGGTCCAAGGATCGATCCTTGAGAGACGCACGCGTTGATAATATCATTGTATTAGGTTGGTGCAAAAATAATGATGTAATAATATCGTTTTTTGATGTATTTTTTAACGTAAAAAACGACATTATTACATCATTATTTTTGCACCAACCTAATATTAAATAAAAATAATTTTTACATTATTATATTTAAAGAGATTGAAAAACCATGACGTGTTTGCCGACATGCGACAATTATTCTTTTAAAGCAACGAAAATTATTTACTAATGCTTTCATCTTTTTTGTTATTATAACAGCGTTTCGGTAGTTGGCTTTTCGGCCTTCTTCAAATGCCTGTCAATACGGGTAACTAGCAGTTTTAGACTGAGGATTGACTTTCCACGGAATAATATCCCGGAGGAATGAAGTGTTGAATCGTGCATTTGGCGACATAGTAATAGTGAGTTCAATCCCAGGGCGTGGTAGTAAAATCACAGATTCAGTAGAAAAACGAATAGCAATTGGGAAGAGGTACTAAAAAAAAACAACATCTCGCGAGATCTGTGTCTCTCTACCATTTTAAGCAACGGCAAATGAAAATACTTAACACAATATTTAAAAGGTAAACAGTTAAATGCTATGAAATAAAACTATATATTTAAAAAAAATAGATATAAATATGAACTTATATTATTTCAGTGTTTCTATTCAGTTATTTGTGCAGTTTATTTAGTGTGTAACTTGTGCCTGGAGTTATTTTCACTTTTTCTTTGACGATATTTGGTCGAATGTGCAATAAGCAGACCGAGATTTCTTCTTCATTTGAGCGTAGAATTTTCCGCTTCTTATTGTTGACGTTATTCCTTGTTCAGAAGCCTAATTCACATAAATAAGAAGTAGAAAATTGAAATATTACAGATAAAGCCTTTTTAGCTAATGTGGGTTATTCCTTTTGTAATGAAATCCAAAATATATCAAAGGGTACACACACACACACATATATATATATATATATATATATATATATATATATATATATATATATATATGTATGTATGTATGTATGTATACAGTAATACTCTCTTGGAAAACCTCGGTTAGCTTAACTTGTGATATAACAAATTGTTGTCCGAGAAAAAAGTTGAAAACCAGAAAAGAAAGAACTTAGAAAATAACACTTTACAAATCCTCTCGTCAACTGCTTAAGACCCAAGTCCATAGAAAAAAAAACAAAAACAAGTAAAAGACTAAACGTAAATACACTTAATTGAGAAAAACTAAAATAATCCTAAGGAACCAGGCAAACCTACCTAGGTTTCACCTAAACGTATCTTCAGGGTACCACTGTCTAAAAAGGCAAATAATGGAACGATATTTATTGATAAAACTAAATAAAACCATGATCACGTGACAAAAAATAATCAAAAGCAGGGTCACAAACTCATATAAGTCAAACTAAATATGTCATCTCTATCTGTGTTTCTCAAACTTTTTAACCAACAGCAAATGAAAATACTTAGCGAAATATATAAAAGGTCTACATTTAAATATTGTGAAATACAACCATAGATTAAAAAAAATAGATATAAATATGAACTTATTTTTTTTCAATGTTTCTATTCAGTTATTTGTGCGGTTTATTTAGTGTGAAACCTGTGCCTGGAGTTATTTTCGTGATTTCTTTGGTAATATTTGGTCGAATGTGCGATAAGCAGACCCACATTTCTTCTTCAGCTGAGAGTAGTTTTTTTTCTCTCTTCTTATTTTTTATTTTATTGAGGGTTGAGAAACTCAACTTATATAAATAAGAAATAGAAAATTGCAATATTACTGATAAAGCCTTTTTAGCTAATGTAGGAAATTCTTTTTTGTATTGAAATCCAAAATATATCAATCAGTACACACACACACACACACGCGCACACACACACACACACACATATATATATATATATATATATATATATATATATATATATATATATATATATATTATTATTAAAACGCAGATTGTGTGTGTGTGTGTGTATCTATACGTTTATATATTGGATCGGATTTCCTACATTTTTCAACCGATTTCAACAAAACTTCACAGGACTGCGTAAAATTACCTTGTGGTGGTTCTGACAGCGCCAAAAATTGGAAAAACACAATTGTTTTTGCATGAAATCAATTTGAAAATACGATAAAACCCGATTTTGTTGCCAGACTGAAAGGGGGTCCACTCATATTGAGTTATACTTATTATAAAGCCCAGGTTGTTTGTGTTTGTGTGTGTTCGTTTATATTTGGGATCGGATTTCCTACGTTTTTCAACCGATTTCAACAAAACTTCACTTTTTTTTAGCAGGTAGTGTTTCTTATTGTCTTCTTTTTTTTTTACATTCAGAATGCTTTAAAATTCCATTTACAAGACAATTGTTTATAATAAAATTCTATTCAATCGGTAGACTCATAACGATTGAAAACAATGTTTTTGCTTGAGTTTGGGTTTGACCAATTCGTAAAAAGACCCAAAAAACAACACAAAAAAAGAAAAAACTAATTAAGACATGCGTGTCCGTCAACCTTAAACAATAATTTTTGTCAATTTTATTTCTCAGTCTTTATGATGGTCGATACTTGATCTATCTCTTACTGTTAAATCCCCAGGCAACGCCGGGCTCTACTGCTAGTATATATATATATATATATATATATATATATATATATATATATATGGTAATACGCGTTTGTAAAACCTCGGTTACCTCAACTTGTAATATAATAAATTGATGTCCGAGGAAAAGTTGAAAAGAAAAAAAGAAAGAAACAAGAACATAACACTATACAAATCCTCTCGTCAAGCACTAAGACCATAGAAAAACAAAAAACAAAAACAAGTAAAAGACTAAACGTAAAGTGCTCAATACACAAAGTAGAGCAAAAACTAAGATAATGCTAAGGAACTAATCAAAACTACCCAGGTTTCATCTAAACGGCTCTTCGGGGTACAATTGACTAAAAAGGCAAATAATGGAACAATATTTATTGATAATACCAATGACCACGTGACAAAAAAAAACGAAAAAACAAAACAAGCCCCTACAACACGTTAGTCGAATAACCAACTTTTCTTATATATGGAAGATTAAAAAGGAAGACAGTAATGATTCCATTTTAAAATGGGAAATATTAAAAAAAAAATGTTATAAATATAAGACAGGCGATAAATATTGTCCACTATGCATGGAGGAAATTTCGAACTGAACCCTTTATTTCGATCGCTGGGGTAGACTGTTCTAATTCCACGTGCCATGTTTGATGGATGTCAGTTATCAGTTATCTCCTGCTAATTTTCCCTCTGAAAGTTCTCCACTGCCTTAACCAGGAATTGAACTCACCTTCTTTGGGTCTGTCACTGGATCTAACCAACGCCTTTATCCACTGTGCCATGTGTCCTTGAGGATCGAAATAAAGGGTTCAGTTCGAAATTCCAACCACCTGAAGAAGGCCGGAGCGTACAACGGCCGAAACGTTGTGACAAATATGGCGACAAAGATGAGGACAATAGTCCGACTAATGTAAATACTGTACATAATACCTCATCTCAGAAATATAGACGATTTCTTTTTTATGTCTTTTTTTTTTACTGCATTTTGGACTGTAAAACCGAAAAGTCTTCCACGTACCAAACGTCTTATGGATTGAATTGGATCTTTTATCATTGAACTCTTTAGCTCTAAGTTGAAATGATGATCCCTCTTTCGACCTCCTGATCCAGTCTTCCTCTCTACTGTTCCCTCTGTTTTAAACTTATTCACTGTTCTCTTGATGGATGTTGAATGGACTTTGAAGATGAAAGCCAGAGAACAGATGTTGGTTCCATTACTGAAGGCCTGAATGATCATTTTCCTCTCACCATTGCTCAGTTGGAAAAACATAGTTAGGCGGACACAAATTTTAACCTTTTCTCTAAGTAACTCAAAGCCTTTATTCAGTGATACTTACGACAAATTTTGTCAAGATAGCTAAACGTCCTATCTGGAAAAAATAAAACACAATTTAGATTTGATTTTAGATATTAAACATTTTGTGGGATGAAAGATTATGCTGTTACACTATTTGGACAATTTTGCTGTTACACTCGGTATGTATGCCGTGACAATATTTCACGGCACACGGTGGTTGGGAATTACTGCTCTAAATAGGTAGCGGGACTAGAACAATTATCATCAGTAAATTTAATAAAGTGTTCAGAAGTTTACACGGATCGTCACAACAATGATTAAGACATTATTCTGACTATAGATAATTACATAATGACAATTTCACTTTACCTATTCATGCACAAATCAAAGAACCCGAATTCGCATGTTCTCTTGCCAGACTTAACGCATGATCGTCTTCGTTTTCAGCAGCTATTAAAAGCAACTACCTGAATACAAAAGTCCTCCCTCCTCTCCACCTTTCAAGCTACAAATAAACAAATTCGACAAAAAATTGTCCCACAATTACGAATCAGAAAATTAGAGGTTGCGGTGGTGGATGTGCGTACACGAGGGAAGGGCTGAACGAGGATCTTCATTAAAAGCGCATGCAGCCGAGACGTTTATAAGATGGAAGCATGAAAAGACTATCATCGCCACCACCTCCGCGCTTATTCCTTTCCGCCGCCTCTGTTTCGTCTCTTCTACGCCAACTGCAATTTGTTGTCAAAAAGATCTGGGTGAGGGTGGAAAGCTCTCTAAATCTTTGTGTTTTCTTCTTCATTCGGTTTCTCTTCGCATTTTTCTATACCCAAATTTCTCTATCTCCCTAAAGCATCCTTCTCTTTATTTTTCCCTATTTTCTTTTTTCTTTCTTTCCTTCTTCTTTTCTTTCTTTCTTCTTTTTTCTTTCTTTCTTCTGCATTTTCTACCTTTCACTTCATTCATTTTTTGCTTTTCAGTTTTTTTTTATTTCTTTTCTTTCTTTCTTTCTTTTTTTTTATTTATTTTTCAAATTTCTCTATATCCCTAAAGCGTCCTTTTTTTTTCTTCCTTATTTTTTTATTTTCCTTATTTTCTTTTTTTCTTTCTTTGCTTCTTCCGTTTTTTTTTTTTTGCTCTTCTTTCTTCTTTCCTTTCTTTATTTTCTTTATTTTGTTTTTAAGTTCTTTTCTTTCTTTCTTTCTTTCTTTCTTTCTTTCTTTTCTTTCTTTCTTTCTTTCTTTCTACCTCTTTATCTGTCTTAAGCGTACTTCATTCATTATTTTTTTTTTCAGTTTTTTTTTTCTCTTTTTTCTTTCTTTCTTTCTTTCTTTCTTTTTTTATTCATTTTTCAAATTTCTCTATATCCCTAAAGCGTCCTTCTCTTTTTTTCTTCCTTATTTTTTTATGCTTTCATACGTCTTTCCTTCTTTCTTTCTTTCTTTCTTTGCTTCTTCCGTTTTTTTTTTTTGCTCTTCTCTTTCTCCCTCAGACGTCCTTCTCTTTATTCTTCTTTATTTTGTTTTTAAGTTCTTTTTCTTTCTTTCTTTCTTTCTTTCTTTCTTTCTTTCTTTCTTTCTTTCTTTCGCACGCTTCTTTATCTGTCTTAAGCGTACTTCATTCATTGTTTTTTCGTTTTCAGTTTTCTCTTTCTCATTTCTTTTTCTTTCTTTCTTTTTCTTTCTTTCTTTCTTTTTTTTATTCATTTTTCAAATTTCTATATCCCTAAAGCGTCCTTCTTTTTTTTTCTTCCTTATTTTTTATGCTTTCATACGTCTTTCCTTCTTTCTTTCTTTCTTTCTTTCTTTTTCCTTTCTTTTTTTTTTTTTGCTCTTCTCTTTTCTCCTCAGACGTCCTTCTCTTTATTCTTCTTTATTTTGTTTTTTAAGTTCTTTTTTTCTTTCTTTCTTTCTTTTTTCTTTCTTTTCTTTCTTTCTTTCTTTTCTTTCTTTCTTTTTCTTTTCTGTCTTAAGCGTACTTCATTCATTGTTTTTCGTTTTCTTTTGTCTTTCTCATTTCTTTCATTTTTTTTTTTTTTTTTCATTTTCAAATTTCTCTTTTAAAGCGTCCTTTCTTTTTTTTCTTCTTATTTTTTTTTGCTTTTGTCTTTCCTTCTTTCTTTTCTTTGCTTTTCCGTTTTTTTTTTTTTTTCTCTTTCTCCCTTTTCTCTTTATTCTTCTTCATTTTGTTTTTAAGTTTTTTTCTTTCTTTCTTTCTTTCTTTCTTTATTTCTTTCTTTCTTTGGCTTCTTTATCCTAAATTGTTTTTTCGTTTTCAGTTTTTCTCTTTTCATTTTTTGTTTCTTTCTTTCTTTCTTTTTTTATTTTTCTTTTTTCTACCTTCTTTCTTTATTCTTTCTTTCTTTCTTTCTTTCTTTCTTTCTTTCTTTATTTCGCAAGCTTCTCTACCTCTCTCAAGCGTACTTCATTCATTGTTTTTCGTTTTCAGTTTTCTCTTTCATATTTCTTTCTTTTTTCTTTCTTTCCTTCTTTATTTTTCACTTTTCTCTATCTCCCTAAAGCGTCCTTTTTTTTATTTATTCTTCCTTATTTTCTTTTTATGCATTAACATTTCTTCCTTTCTTTTTTTCTTTCTTTCTTTCTTTTCTTTTCTTTCTTTCATTTACCCTTTCATTTTCTTTCTTTCATTTCTTCATTACCCTCTACATTCATATATTTTTTCTTTTTTCATTTTTCCTCTAAAACTTTTGGCTTCTGGTCCTGTTTTCATTCATTCATTATTTTTCATCTTTGTTTTTCATTCTCTTATGTTTTCTTTTAAATTTTTCCCTTTCTATCTTTTTATTAACTCCCATGGTTTTTCTTTCCTTCTATTTTTTCTTTCTGTCATTTCCAGCTTTCTATCTCATTATTTTTTATATTACTATTACCACCGTTTCTTTTATCTGGCGCGTTTCTTTCTTTACGCCATTTTTCTTCTTATTCGGAATTCATACTATTATTATTATTATTATTATCGTCATCATCATCATCATCATTTGTGTATGTTTCCTTCTTTATATTCTGTAGAGCCGGGTCAGGAGAATTGTTAGTTAACTGATAGGATTTTTCATGGTA